GAACTGAGATCGCAAAAGCTACTCAGCACTGCCAGAAAAAAAAAAAAAACTTGCATTTTTGAGATGCTCAACAGGTGATTCTTATTTTTCCTAAGGTATAAAAAATGCTACTGATCTAGAGTTCCTTGTGTTACTCGATCATTTTCCTTTTCCCTCCAACTTGTAGATTAAAAATTTTCAAACAATAGAAAAGTTGGGAGGATGGCAGAAGCAACATCTATAAAGATTTACCTAGATGCACCAACTGTTCACTTTTTATCACGTTTACTTCCTCTCACCTTTTTTTTTTCCTGAATCATTTATAAGTAGGTGCAGGATCGGGGACCAGAGGGAAGTTCAAGAACAAGGGGACATATGTATATCTTTGGTTGATTCATGTTGATATACAGCAGAAACCACCACAACACTGTAATTATCCTCCAATTAAAAATAAATAGGGACTTCCCTGGTGGTCCAGTGGCTAAGACTCTGCATTCCCAGTGCAGGGGACCTGGGTTCAAATCCCTTGTCAGGGAACTAGATCCCACATGCTGGAACTAGATCCCACATGCTGCAACTAGGACCTGGTGCAGCCAAATAAATATTTAAAAATAAATAAAGACAATAAATAAATAGACAAACAAGGCTGTGTGCATGTAAAAAAAAAAAAAAACAAGTAGGTGCAAACATCATGTGTTATCCCCAGATACTTCAGCAAGCATCTACCAAGAATAGGTATTTCTCCTGAACAGCCACCATACCATTATCAAACCTAAGAAATTGAACACTTCTCCAGCACAACCCAATAATCAATCTATACTCAAATTTCCCCAAATCTTCGAAAAAAATTTAACCTTTTCCTTTCAATTTAAGATTTAGACAACATACATACATTCAATTGTTGTGTCTCTTTAGTCTGCCTTTTTTAGTGTGTGTGATAATTTACTTTTTTTTTTTTTTTAAAAATATGGAACGCTTCACGAATTTGCGTGTCATCCTTGCGCAGGGGCCATGCTAATCTTCTCTGTATCGTTCCAATTTTAGTATATGTGCTGCCGAAGCGAGCACTACTTTATTTTTTTAAGAGACCAGTACCTCTTATACAAAGTCATACACATGTTTTGTTTGATGTTTGTCCCTCTGATTAAATTTAAGTTCAGTAGTTTCGACCATCCCTGTAGGCAGTCATATCAGTAGACACCTGATGAGGTTCTCTCTTTATTGGTGATACCTTGTTTGGTCTCTTGTTCAAGGTGGTGACTGTCAGACATCAGTGGAGTGACACTGTGCACTGTTTGTCCCTATGTTTGAGTTCAGTACTTTTGGCCACTGTGTAGGTGATCACATCAGGAGGCACTTGATGAGGTTATCTCTTTATTGGCTCCCTGGTGATCCTTGCCTAATTCGTTGGAGAGTGTGTGTGGCAGAATGGTCATTTTCTAATTTGCTCATTCCTTCTATGTTAATTAGTTTATATTCTTCCATAAAGAAGGAACTTCCTCTCTTTAAAATTACTATTGAGTGATAGTAACTTCTTCCTTTGTGCTAGTTTTCATTCACGGACTCCCATTTAAAATCTTATATATGCCAGATTGCATTCATTGTTCTTCCATTTTTGTTAAGTGAAGCCATTATAATTGCCAATATAAATGAGCTTTATTGGGTAGGAGATGACAAGTGCATCCACACTGAGAAATGTAATTATACCAAAAACTAGGGAACCTAATACTTTAGCCTCCCTGACATAAATAGGCAGTCATGTAGAATCCAGGCTTCTGTATTTGGACAGAGATTAGGTTGTCATATTCCTGACCACCTCACCAGGACCATGGGCTTGCAGCCACTGGCCCAGCCTTCCCTCTCCCTTTCTTCCTCGATTACCAGGCCCCACCAGCTTTCCTGACCTCACCGCTCCAACGTCCCTGCTCCCAGCGACTCCCTTTGCAAAGACCAGGGTTTATATTTGGCTTTTAGGATTGTGTTTGCCGAATAGCTGGGAAATGGTTGATTTTCCTCAGCAGTGTCTCACGAGATTGCCATTCTTCTGAGGACTTCTCTATACCCTGAGAGACGTCTTCTAATATAGGGGGCTTTCTCATCCCTTGACTTTCTGTCCATATCAAGTTCTTCCTTTCTCACTCAGAATGAGGGTTTCCTGACCATGATTTTCTGTGACCTTTTCCCCCTTATTACAAACCAGTACTGTCTATTAGAGGCTTCCCAGGTGGCCCTATTGCCTGTCCATGCAGGAGGCACAAGAGATACAGGTTCAAGTCCTGGGTTGGGGACATCCCGTGGAGAAGGAAATGGCAACCGGCTCCAGTATTGCTGCCTGGAAAATCCCTTGGACAGAGGAGACTGGCTGGCTTCAGTCCATGGGGTCACAAAGAGTTGGACACAACTGAGCACAGACTGTTCGTTAGACAAAAATTAGTAAATACCGATTAGCAAAAAATTACAATATGTAGACATTTTGGATTCTCTTAGTATGGGTTGGGCACTTTATATAACTCATTTAAGCCTGATAGCAAACCTAGGATTTGTGTTATCCTCATTTTTTCTTCCTTTGCAGTTGAGGAAAATGAGACATGAGGTTAAATGTGTGGCTTAGGTTCATTAGCTAATAAGTTGCAGAGCCAAGACTTGTTTATATCACCCTTGCAGAGCTTTTTCCTCTATGTGTTCATGCTGAATTACTTCAGTTGTGTCTGACTCTGTGGGACCCATGGCTCCTCTGGAGGAGCCCTCCAAGCTCCTCTATCCAAGGGATTTTTCAGGCAAGAATATATACATACATAAAAAATACAGTTCAACAGCATTCTTTTTAATCCAGCATCTTTCTCTTTCCCCTCCTCCCGAACCTATCCTCAGGATTGACGAGAATGTGCTGGGAGCCCAGCTGGATGTGGAGGCCGCCCACTCAGAGATCCTCAAGTACTTCCAGTCGGTCACCTCCAACCGGTGGCTCATGGTCAAAATCTTCCTCATCCTCATTGTCTTCTTCATCATCTTTGTGGTCTTCCTTGCCTGAACCCTGTCCACTCTGAGGCACTCCGTGGGGGTTTGGAACCCTTCTGGGAGGGCAGGTGGCCAGAGCTGCCACTGAGCCTGTGCAGGGTGCTTGGGAGAAGGGCCCTGTTTCCTTGGAACTGCTAAGAATGACCACTGCCCTCGGTCCCCCACTCCTTGCCTCTGGCCACCCAGCCCTCCCCTCACCACCCTCCAGCCCATGAAACACTCACGGTTCTGGATTTGGACTCTGCTGTGAAGTGGCTGGAAAGGAGCAGAGGCCAACTGAGGGGCTCGTCGGGGAGATTGTCTCACCAGGAGATTTTTATAAACCCTCCCCAGCCTGTCGCAAAGGGAACTTTGGCAGCAAGGGGAGATGATGCCTTTCCCCACCTTCCTGAGAGCGAGGAGAGGAAGTGAAACTGCCCCAGGGACCAACTTTCCCATTTGGGTTAGAATTTGACCTCTTCCTCTTCTCTTTACCACATGAGGCAGGGGGCCCTGAGCCCCTTGGCGGCCTGCACAACCCCAACTCTGGCTGCAGGTGACTCTCAATCTGCCAAACGTGCTGCAGCCCGTTTTCTCCCAATTACAGCAAGACTGTCAGCCTCACTAGCCATGTCGTCATTTTCTGGGTGGGAGCGCCGAAGAAGGGCCTAGGCAGAAATGGAGGGAGCCTGCTGCCCAATATGACAACTGAAAGGGCTGGACTGATGACCCTCAGGTGCCAGGCTTTGGGCTCCATGTACACAGCTGCTTCCAGCAGGCATAACCGAGTGCAGCAGTACTTAATTATCATGGAAGATTCCCTTCAAAGCCGGGTACACGATCCCAGAGTGGGTCTCTGATTAGTGGTAACTTCCAGGACCATCTCCAGAAGTATTGACCTGTTTCATCTGCATCCTCCAGTCCCACCATTTTCCTTGGGCTGGATGAAGCAGGGGTTCTGCCTGCTGCCAGGAGTGAAAGGTGAAGAATTTGTTCCCAGCTCCACCTGAGGCTTTTGGTCCCCTTGAAGCCCCTCACCAAATCCAAGCCAGTCACAGGAGAATGAAGTAGAGATCCGCCTGGAATACCTACCCTCCAGGAAAGTCAATATGCTTGTCAGTCCTGACCAGGACCCACAGCCACATCATTCTGAGGTCCCTGGAGTACCCCCATTTCATACACCCCCAAGGAAGCTCAAGCTGTAGTGACAACAATCACACTGGGCTGGCTGTAGTACCTTCGGGGCAGGGGCGGTAGTTATCTAGAAGAGCCCTGGCCTTTCTTAGCCCTGGCATTTTAGTATTTCCTCTCCCCTTTTTCAGGGGGTGCTTTTGCTTGCATCTTAACTGTTTAGTTGACACACGATGTGGGTTTAAGCACAGCACTTCGATGGTGGGTGGGGCGATCTGTGAAGACGATCACAGCCTGACAAATGCAGTTTTTCTCATTTGACTCAGCAACTATTGGGGGGGGTGGGTCGTTGCATAGATTGGAAATTTATTTCATAATAATAGCTGAGTTCCTGGTACGTGCTAGGTATGGTACTGAGCCAGGCGCTGGAGAAAAAAAAAAAAAGCCATGAATTAGTCAACTCCTTGCTCTCTTGGAGCTTACCTTTTAGTTTTCTATTTCATTTTATAGGCGAGGAAAGCAAGGCATATATCTGTAGAAGGCAGAGGGCTGAGCTGAGACTTAAGCCCAGGCTGGATCCTCCTACGGGTCTTGGAGCGGTCACTCCAAGGCACTGCTCTCCCGTTCCTCAGAAGCCCTTCATGTGGCCCTCCTTCCCTTTTTCTGTTTGAGTTCTGGGGTGCAGTGGCCATCTCTGCTTCAGCGCCAACCTTGGAGGTGCTGCCTACGATGCAAGCAGGGGGCAGGTGCGAGTACTAATCTGAGGGATCAGTAAACTAATCAGTACCGGGCGGGGCGTCGGCCCCAAGCCCCGCCCCAGTGTCTCTGCTGGTCGAATGCGCACGCGCGTCTCCCAGTGGCTCCGCCTATCATCGTGGGACGTCGGCAGCGCGCGACGCGGTCTCCTTATAAATGCGGTGGTAGCCGGCGTAGGAGCACTTCGGCCTGGAGCGCCTTGGCATTCGTACGTTTGGCTAGGTAGCGGCCCGCGACGCAGCCCGCCCCTGCCTCTAGCTGTGCCATGGCGGACGAGGGGAAGTCATACAACGGTCAGTGCTGGTCCTTGAGCCGGAGAGAGGGGCGATCTGGAGCCTCGCTGGGCAGCGCCGGCCTAGGCCGCAGCGCCGGGGCGGGAGGCCGCGAGGGGCTGGGTGTCCGCGGGGGACGGCGATGGGTGGCGCGGGCCCGGGGCGAGGCAGTCCGGGCCCTGGCTGAACTCGAGGGTGGGTGCCCGGCTCGTTGACCCCAGAATCCTGGCGTTGTGAGCACCTGCGGCTCGAAGCGGGTGGCTCGGCGGTGGGGTGACTGGATTCCTTTGAACTTTGTGGGTGGTGGATGCCTGTCAGTTCAGTTTGGCGGCTATACTAATGTGAGTCAGTGCCCTGTTCTTGGGCTGCCGGTGCCCTATTTTCTACCATGCATCCAGTCGGTCTTGCCCCCTCCCCCACCGTCCTCAGCTTTGGCTTAATATTTTAGACCTACACTTTAACTCAGTGTTCTAGCCAGAACACTACATTGGGTTTAGGTCCAGAGTAGTGGTTAGGAGCACACAACAGCCAAGGTTTCAATTTTGAGTTGGCCATGCCAATCTTGTGTGAGTTAAACACTCAGGCCTGATTTTCCACCCCCTTAAGGAGGATAGAAACAGTACCTTTCTCCTAAGTGTGTGTGTGTGTGTGTGTTTATGAAACAAGATCGTGTGTGTTGAGCGCCTGATATCGGATAAAGTTCTCAATAAATGTTAACTGCACCTTCTAGTGGTTTATTTTTTCCCTAGGGTCATTTCATGAGATTCAGTGTTTGAGGAGTACTATGCATTAGACCTTTGGGGAGAATCGTAGGTCTCTTTTTAAGAAACCATTTCTACACATCAAGTCTGAGAGGTACATATTCCTGGAGAACATTCAAGGACCCTTGGTGAAGCACCCTAACTGCCACTAGAACCTGAATTCAGGAGTTGTCTCCTGAGTTAAGAGGCATTTCTGACCAAGGAAACTAAGAGTTCACTCCCTGAACTTCAGAGTTTGAGAATAAGATTTATAAAAGAAACCATTAGATTAATCATATTTGTAATTGATGTTTGTCCTCTATAGGCAGAAGGAGTATTGATTACTGGAAGTTAATGTAATCATCGTGATTGGCTTCCCTGGATTTGAGAGAGGTCACTTGGGGTTAAGTGGATGTGGGTGGGCAGACAGCAGACTTTTTGGAGAGTGAGTTGTGTCCAGTTACACTTGGGTCACTCGCACTTCAACATTTACTTCAGAGTGGCAGTTTTTTAGTACGGTTGATTTACAACATGTTTTCAGGTATGACATGAAAGTGAACATAGTGATTCAGTATTACGATAGATTATACTCCATTGAAAGTTATTAGAAAATAATGGCTGTCACTCCCCATGCAATAATATATCATTGTTGCCTATCCATTTTATACTGAGTAGTTGGTATCTCTTAATCCCATAACCTTATCTTGCCCCTCCTGCTTTCCCTCTCCCCACTGATAACCGCGAGTTTGTTATCTATATCTGTGAGTCTGTTTCTGTTTTGCTAAATATATTCGTTTTAGTTTTTACATATGTGATATCATACAACATTTGTCTTTTTCTGTCTGACTTATTTCACTAAGTATAATAACGTCCAAGTCCATTCTTGTTGCAGTGGCAAGATTTCATTCTTTTTTATGGCTGAGTAGTATTTCGTTGTGTGTGTGTGTATGTGTGTCCACCGCATCTTCTTTATCCATTAGTCCCTTGATGGACATTTGGGTGGCTTCCATATCTTGCTCACTGTAAACAGTGTTGCTATGAACAATGAGATGCAGGTATCTTTTTTTATTGACCTGAAAACAAGTGAAGCTCATATGTATTCTTCCTGTTTTGTTAGTTTTGATGCTTTAAAAAAAAAAAACTTTTATATTGGAGTATAGTTGATTTACAGTGTTGCATTACTTTCAGGTGTACAGCAAAGTGATTCGGGTATACAGATATCTATTGTTTTTCAGATTCTTTTCTCATGGAGGTTATTACAGAGTACCGGGTAGAGTTCCCTGTGCTATACAGTAGGTCCTTGTTGATTATCTATTTCAGATATAGTAGTGTGTAAATGTTAATGCCAACTTTCTCATTTATGCATGTATCTTTTTTGATTAGTACTTTTTGTTTTTTTCTGGATGTATAATTGGAGTGGATTTGCAGGATCATATGGTAGTTCTAGTTTCAGTTTTTTGAGGCGAGAACAAGACTTAAAAGAAGCCTTTAAATTGGTTGTATTTGTAACTGACATTTGTGCTTTACAGGCAAAAGAACTATTGTTTACTGAAAGCTGATGTAATCATTGTGATCGGCTTTTCAAGATGTGATCAAATTTTGAGTAGGGGTAGTCTTAGAGAATGAATTTATGGTTACCAGGGAGAGGTGGGTAGGGAAGGGACAGATTGGGAGTTTGGGATGGACATGTACACACTGCTATGTTTAAAATGAATAACCAACAAGGACCTACTGTATAGCACAGGGAATGCTGCTCAGTATTCCATTAACAATCTATTTGGGAAAAGAATCTGAAAAAGAATAGATACATGTATAGGTATAACTGAATCACTTTGTTATACACCTGAAACTAACACAATACTATTAATCAGTTATACTCCAATGTAAAATAAAAAGTTAAAAAGATTTTTTTGAGTGGGATTAAGTAGATTTGGAAGGTTGAGAAAAGCAGACTTCAGGTGACTCTCAGGAGTCTGAGTTGTATCCAGTTGCACTTGAGACACTCACTTCCACATTCTCCTTCTCCTTTCTCTAGTTCCAGTTTCTGCTTCACTTTTCTAAAAAGACGTCACACAGTTTTCCAGTCACTGATGTTGCCACCCCACAGAGAGGGTTCTTTCCCTGGACAGGCAGAGGAGTTTGCACAGAGGTGGCCTCTCTGGTGACTGTGTATCTCATCTGATAGTGCAGGGTGCTGGATAGTGTGATTGCCAAGCAAGGTAGCTGAGCCAGTGGTGTATTTTCTTCTCTTCTTTTTTAAATATTTGAATATTTATTTGGCTGCACCAGGTCTTAGCTGTGGCACAAGGGATCTTTTTTTTTTTTTTTTTAATTGTGGCATGCGAACTCTTAGTCAAGGCATGTGGAATCCAGTTCCCTGACCACGGGTCAGACTCAGGGTCCTCTGTGTGGGGAGCGGGGAGTCTTAGCCACTGGACTACCAGTGAAGTCCCTCAAGTGATGTATTTTCTAATTTTTGTTCTGTTTCCAAACCCAGAGCACGATGATCGAGTTAGTTTCCCTCAAAGAAGAAAGAAAGGCCGGGGCCCTTTCCGTTGGAAGTCTGGCGAGGGGAACCGGAGGTCTGGAAGAGGGGGCTCCAGCGTTCGGTCATCTCGCCTGGAGGACGACGACAGAGATGTGGCGATGAGCGATGTCCAGGATGCTCCCCGAGTACGATAGTAAGTAACCAGTTGGTCTGGTTTGAATTTCGCAGCCCCCTCATTTATGTGGCCCTTACTGCCCATGTCATTTCTCTTCCCACCTGGAAGGGAGAGAAATGCCAGGACCAGCTTACTGGTAGTTGATGGCTGTGGTCCTGATAACAGTGCAGGAAGATCTTTGAGAAGACATTCCTAACCTCTGTGAATGTTTTATTCTCTCCTCCCCCACAGCACCCCCTATGCTGCACGACCCAACCGTCGGGGTGATAACTGGAACGAGCGCACTCGAATTCATGTTACTCTGCCCCTGCGGAGAGATCGGACTGCTGCAGAGAGGGGAGGGGCTGGCACCAGCCAGGATGGGACGTCCAAGAACTGGTTTAAGATTACAGTGAGTATCTTTTTTTTTTTTTTTTTACAGTGAGTATCTTGGAGCTACATGGAGCAGGGGAGCTAGGGGGCTGGGCTCAGAGTTAAAGTGTTTACCTCTCATATTACAAAATCAGCTGTTTACTCCACAATCAGGGAACCATTTTTGCTGCTAAGAATCAATATCTTAGATCATCTATGAGCAGCTTCAGAAAAGAAGGGGGGCAGCAGGATGGGAAGGCCATGAAAGGGAAGTGTGATAATTGTGGTTGGCGGGTGGGAGAGCTCCTTCAGATGTGAGGAGCTGAGTGTGGAGCGGAGGACCCTTGAGTTCTCTGAAAGGCAGGTAGGTTATAAATGATGTCTTAGAACTTGTAGAATCAAACATTTGCATCCTTTGAGGAATAATTATAAATGGACAGAAAGGGGGTTAAGGAGTTCATATTTGGCTTGAGTAGAATACTCTTAATTTTTTTGGCTTCACTGTGCAACCTGTGGGATCTTAGTTCTCCGACCAGGGATTGAATTCCCAGCAGTGGAAACTCGGGAGTCCTAACCACTGAAGCAGCAGGGAGTTCCCAGAAAACTTTTTTTTTCCCCCCAGAAAACTTTTAAATTGACGATTTCTCCAGAAAGTCTTTTAGAGCTTGGCAGATGTGCTGAAAGGAGCACTGGAGGGGTCTGCTGTTCATTTAGTGACATGTTCTTCCTGTCTCTTCTCTTTCTCTCATCTAGATCCCTTACGGCAGGAAATATGACAAGTCATGGCTCCTGAGTGTGATTCAGAGCAAGTGCAGTGTCCCTTTTACTCCCATTGAGGTACGAGAAGGCCAGAGTGGCTGACTGCACACCAGGGAGGGTGGAGGTCCCAGCTGGGCTCCAGGTCTAATGCCCTTGTTCCCTCGCCTTGCAGTTTCACTATGAAAACACACGGGCCCAGTTTTTTGTGGAGGACGCCAGTACTGCCTCTGCACTGAAGGCTGTTAACTATAAGATTTTGGATCGGGAGAACCGCAGGGTGAGTATGAAGGGCCTGGTTTGGTTGGGGGTGGGGACTGGTGCTCAGGGCATAGACTGGGTCTTGGTCCTGAGACTCAGGCCTTCCTGGAGTTCACCCTGTCCATGTGTGTTTCCCCTGCAGATATCTATCATCATCAACTCCTCTTCTCCACCCCATTCTGTGCAAAATGAACTGAAGCCAGAACAAGTAGAGCAGCTAAAGGTGAGGCCAGCACCTGAGTCTTAGGGGTTCCCCCTTCCCCACCCCACCCCCCAACAACTCCAGTGACCACTGAACCCTCTGTCTTCCTCTGCAGCTGATCATGAGCAAACGATATGATGGCTCCCAGCAAGCACTTGACCTCAAGGGCCTCCGTTCAGACCCAGGTACAGGTCGGATACAGGTTGATTCTGCCTCACCCATTCTTAGATTGGTGGAGACAGGGGGGGATCTGTCAGCAGGGGAAATCTGAGGGTGCTGTGGTGGGCATACTGGCCTGGGCAGGCCCTCTCAGACTTCCCTTTGCTTCCTGCAGATTTAGTGGCCCAGAACATTGATGTTGTCCTGAACCGAAGAAGCTGCATGGCAGCCACCCTGCGAATCATCGAGGAGAACATCCCTGAGGTGAGGCCTTTGTCCCACTAGGTGGGAGGAAGCAGGGTCGGGTTCGTAGGATGGGGTCGGGAGGCAGGTTTGTTTCTCATCCCCTGGCTGGTGGTGATTCCTCTAAATTCTCCTCTCCCCACAGCTATTGTCCTTGAACTTGAGCAACAACAAGCTCTACCGGCTGGATGACTTGTCCAGCATTGTGCAGAAAGCACCCAATCTAAAGACCCTAAATCTCTCTGGAAATGAGGTGAGTTTGAGAGCCGGGTTGTGTTTGGATAGGGTGGGCAGAGGTGGAGAGAGCTTGTTCATGGCAGCAAGAGGCAGGGAGGGCATTTAAGAGATGAGGGTGGGGGTGGGGGGATCTAGCTGGCTGTCTTTACGAACATGTCTTTCCTGCCTTTGCAGCTGAAGTCTGAGCGGGAGTTGGACAAGATCAAAGGGCTGAAGCTGGAAGAGCTCTGGCTTGACGGAAACACCCTGTGTGACACCTTCCGAGACCAGTCCACCTACATCAGGTCAGTTACAAGCTTTATCTCCCCTCCTGGGGACCTTCACCCCCTGGGAGGCTGAGTGGATGCACCCTGATCACTGCCTGTCTGCAGGAGATGTGCAGCCCTCAGCTGGAACCACCTGTCCTTGGGGAGGATCGCGTGTTCCTCCATTTTGTCTGCCCGTGACCCCTAGCTTTGGCCCAGGCCTCTTTTCCTTTCTTCTCAGCTGACTGCCTGTCTGCTGGTACTGTGGCCTTTCTCCTTCCTTCCTGAACACAGCCTTCTCTAGACTCTCCCTCCCCTTTTGTTTCAAGAAGAGCATCTCCCTTTCTCTATCATGACCAGGGGGTGTCTTGCATATTACATCCCCATACGTGGAGTTGCTTTGAGCCAAGAGCCTGGTAACCCCTGGGCAGGGGAAGCCCTCCCTCCCTGGGACTTCCTGCTGATGGGCCTTCCCTCCTCTGTCTGTGACAGCCCCTCTTGCCCTGTTGCCAAGAGGGGCTCTGTTCTCACAATCACTTTGCCCAAGGTTACTGCCTTGGTTTTCCTGCCCATGCTGAGGTTGAGGTCTCCTGGTGGCTGTGCCATGCACTCTGTCGCTCTTGCCCAAGGCTGTGAGCTGGGCCCTCCCTGGAGGAGAAACCTGGGTTCCCTAAGACACGTGACCAGAGCCGGGGCCCCGCCAGCAGGCGAGGGAATCCCAAGGCAGGTGCTGGGCGTGGAGGCCACGGGGGCGTAGGCTATCCAGGAGACAGAGAACTGACCCTCTCTGGGGGCGCTGCCCCTCCCTCACTCGCACACCTCACATCACCCTGCTTGGCCCCGGAGGATGGCTGGTTAGCCAGAGACGGGTAAGATTCCTCAGGGAAGGAACAACCTAAGACAGGCACAGTCGCAGAGGGGCCATCAGGAGAGAACTTGGGGGCCAACAGTGGTGGGGCACAGACCCTCACCCCCCCAACTTTGCAGGGGCCTGAACCCTCACCCCTTCGGAGGGAGATCTCCTGCCCCCATGGCTGCTTTGCTGCCCACGCCCAGCTCAGATCGGGACCCAGGTAGCAGACAGACACCTGGCCAATAGCAGCTGCCCTCTCACCACAGCAAAGATGGTTTCTCACTTCCTCCTTGGACCATAGGGAGAAGGGAGCCGAAAGAGATGGCTGTGTCGGGTGCCTCTGGCCCTTTGTCCTCCCTGGTCTTTCTAAATGACTCTCCACCATGTCGTGCTGTTGCTTTGTCTTTGCTTTCTCTTTCCTTTCTCTCTTTGTCGCCTGAATCTCCCCCATGTCTTCTTCGCCCCCGCCTCTCCTTCCTTTTCTCTCTCCTCTCCCCTCTCTTCCTCCTTGGCCTCTCCTCTTCCTGAGCCTTGCTCGTCTCCCTGCCCCAACATCCTGTGCCATTTCTGTGGTGTGTTCTGGTCTTGGCCACGGCCAGACCTGGCAGAAGTGATGGATACCTGTTGAGGCAGCGGAGCCTTGGGCTCCCACCCCATTCCCTCCTCCCGGGGCTGCACAGGTGAGTAGGTGGAAGGTAAGGGGGTCAAGGACGGAGAAGAGGTCCTGGCTTAATGCCTGGGCTGGGAGCGCTGCTCCTGCAGTGCTCGGAGTCAGGCAGAGAGTGTCGTCCTTCAAGGCAGTGATTTTTGGATGCCCCAGACGAGGTGGGGAGTGGGGTTATTTTTCCTGGAGCTCAGAGGCTGGGGAAGAGTGAGAGCAAAGGAGGATGGGCTGGGCTGTCCCTCGGGCACGGGTGTTTTTGCTCCTAGAGCAGCCCAGGAGGCACAGTGGCTCTGAAACATTACTTACTTATGTCCCGTTCTTGACAGCGCCGTTCGAGAGCGATTTCCGAAACTACTACGACTGGTGAGTACCTAATTCTTTTCATTCTCTTCTGAGGAGCATAGCCACCCTCAGAGTCTTGCCTAACGTGCCTTTATACAATCACTAATTTGGGGATATGGAGCCCTTTAATAATATAACAAAGATTTCATATATATATTAACAAAGGTTATAATCCTTCTTCCTAGAAAAATGCCTGTGGATGATAGTTGCATCTATCAGGATTCATAGACCTCTTTCCATTTCTTTCTCTTACTTGATCTCTGACCCTTTTACTCTTACTTCTCCCATCTAATTACTCATCCAGCCTTTAAAAAAAAAAAATTTATTTGGCTCTGCTGGGTCTTAGTTGCGGCCCACCAACTCCTAGTTACAGCATGTGGGATCTAGTTCCCTGACCAGGGATTGAACCCAAGCCCCTGCATTGGGAGTGGGGAGCCTTAGCCCTGGACTGCCAGGGAAGTCCCTCATCTAGCCTTCTTTCACATCATCGTCTTTCACTTCCTTTCTGCAGGATGGCCATGAGTTACCCCCACCAATTGCCTTTGATGTTGAAGCCCCCACGACGTTACCACCTTGCAAGGTAAGTGGTGGGATGGCATCTGGGGGGCACAGAGCTAGAACTCATGTTGGGAGGAGAGTCCTGGTACCATGGTCCTGTTTGATTGGAGTCTGTTTGATTCCAGGGAAGCTACTTTGGAACAGAGACCCTGAAGAATCTGGTCCTGCACTTCTTGCAGCAGTAAGTATCTTGGGTGTCCTGAGGCTGGGGTGCAGTGGGCTAGCCCCTTTGTGGATCCAACTTGTGGAACTCAGCCCTCCCCTCTGGTTTGCCACAGGTACTACGCGGTGTATGACTCGGGAGACCGACAGCGGCTCCTGGACGCCTACCATGACGGAGCCTGCTGCTCCCTGAGCATTCCTTTCACCCCCCAGAACCCTGCCCGGTGAGTAGCACATCCCAGGACCTGCCCAGGACCAGACTTGCTCAGCAGGCACTGGCCGGCACATGTGGCATCGCCACTGCTCTGACCACTGCCTCTTTTTCTTATTCCCCCAGAAGCAACTTGGCTGAGTACTTCAAGGACAGCAGGAATGTAAAGAAGCTTAAAGACCCTAGTAAGTGTGTGACGTGAGCCAAACAGGTTGGGAGAAGGTTGGGAAGGAGACAGTCTGGGCTCAGTGTGTGGCAGCTCCTAACCTCGGCTTCTCCTCCCACAGCCCTGCGGTTCCGACTGCTGAAGCACACACGTCTCAACGTGGTGGCCTTCCTCAACGAGTTGCCCAAAACTCAGCATGACATCAATTCCTTCGTGGTAGACATAAGTGCGCAGACAGTAAGCACTTATTTCTTCCTTGACAGAAGCGTGGATTTGGGGAAGGGGCAGTCCTTAGGAGGCAAGGAGGGACTTGGGCTTTGCTGGGAGCCTGCATGGTAACTGATATTGCTGCTTCTCTTTCAGAGCACATTGCTGTGTTTCTCTGTCAATGGAGTCTTCAAAGAAGGTAAGTATCTTTGGAGTCCTGAGTTTGTGGAGTGGTCTTCCTGTCCCAGCTAGTCGTTCTGAGCACTCTCAACTTCCCAGCTCCCTTCTCTTCTCTTCTTCCCTGACCACCTTCTCCCATTCTGCCCCCAAGCCTGTCCTCACCTGTCTTTCCTGTCTGGGCTATGGGAACAGCCTGATGATTAGAAGGACACAGACTTTGGAGGCAGACAGTTCTGAGCTTCCATCCCCAACCTTGGTCCTCTTGTGTCTGTGAGCAATTTATATTACCTCTGAACCTGACTACTTGTAAAAGAAAGGGATTCATAATAGGCATTTCATTACATGTTTGGGGAGTAAGTAAAGTGATTTACAAAGTGCCTGACACAGGGCCTGGCCCACAGATACAAATAAATAACTAGTGGGATAAAAGTGTTACTATTGTCCTCTCTAACCTCTGACAGTTCCTCCCTGCTCTGCCCATCTGTGCACACAGAGTCACCCCTGTTTGGCCTGCTTAGGGTTCTCTGTATCAAATCAGACTTATGATTTTTGAGAAGCTGTTTGAAAACATAAAGCATGAATGACTGACGGGTCATCACCATTGTTATCATTGCAGTGGATGGAAAGTCTCGGGACTCCTTGCGAGCCTTTACCCGAACGTTCGTTGCTGTTCCTGCCAGCAATTCAGGGTGAGTGTCTGACTTACCACATTGGGTCCCAGTCCTAATGCATGACTGCTACTGTGGCAAAGTGGTTTAACAATATTCACTACCTAAGTCTGTTGTGAAGGTAGGTAAATGAGGGCTGGGGAAGAATGTATAATTCCAGTCTGTTTGGTAGATAATCCCATATGTGGAATCCATGGGAAAGGGGGTAAATGATAAAGGAACCTTGTGGGTATTGAAAGATTCTGAGTGTCAAGTGAGAATAGAAATGATGTTGGGAGGATGAGGTTATCTTCTGTCTGTCCAGCTGTCTAAGGTGCTTTTTGTCTCCAAGGTTGTGCATTGTCAACGATGAGCTGTTTGTGCGGAATGCCAGTGCTGATGAGGTCCAGAGAGCCTTTGCCATGCCTGCACCCACACCTTCCTCCAGCCCCGTGCCCACCCTCTCCCCAGAGCAGCAGGAAATGCTGCAGGCATTCTCGACCCAGTCTGGCATGAACCTTGAGTGGTCTCAGAAGTGAGTACTGAGCGTGTGTAGGAAATGGGGTAAACTGAGGTAGTGCTGGTGGTGAAAAATAAGTGCCCCTAAAATTTTTAAAGCCAAAACTTAGTAGTTGTAATGGAGGTGCCTGTTCTTCCCCTGCTCCAGGTGCCTTCAGGACAACAACTGGGACTACACCAGATCTGCCCAGGCCTTTACTCATCTCAAGGTAAGATTTGAAAATAGGTGGCAAAGAGCTTCAGGCCTTCAAGAGGGTCAGGTAGGCTTGGGGAACGGCATGGACCACCTGGCTCTACTGACCTTTTTATGTTTCTTTAAGGCCAAGGGCGAGATCCCAGAAGTGGCATTCATGAAATGATCCATAGTCGTGCCCCAGAAGAACCCTGTAAATAGTCCCCAGACGTACTGATGTCTCCTCTCCGGCCCGAGGCCGCCCTGTGACTGTGACCGAGGAGGGAGGGCTGCTGGATCCTTCTCCTCACCTGCCTTCTGGAAGCCTCCAGAAGATTGAGCCTCCCTGGTGCCAGGAAGCCAAAGCTTACTTTGTAGAACTGACACTAAAATACCCTAATGACTTAGGTGCTTTGTGTACTTAACCCCAGGATCCTCCCTACTTTTTAAGATAAAGAATGGTATTGTATTTGGTGTCCAGCTGCTGAGTTATTTTAGCCTTACCCTTCACAGGCGTGGGCAGGACCGAGGGATGGGGCGAAAGGACTCTGGTGGTGGGGCGGGGCTAGCTGGCAGGAAGTCCCGCCCCGGAAACGCCTCCACGCAGCGCCATGGCGGCGCCCGGACGGAGGTGGTCTGTGCTGCTGTTTCGAGCGCTGCAGTCACTGCCCGCGCGCCGGGCCCTGCATGACACGGCTCCGCCACGGGATGTGCTGCTCTTTGAGCACGAGCGGGGCCGCTTCTTCGCCGTCCTCGGGCTATTCTGCGCCGGCCAGGGCGTCTTCTGGGCTTCCCTGGCCATTGCCTCCTTGGCCCGTCCCCCAACCCCGGTTCGTCCAACAGACGCCAAGTCCCCAGACCATAGCCACTTGGACCTGCGCTCTACGCTCTGGCGCTACGGCCTTGCTGTCGGCTGCGGCGCCATCGGTAAGGTGTGGGCTAGCTTCCCAGCTTGGTCGAAGAGGGTGGGCACAATCCTCTGTGTTCGGGCAAGAAGGGTAAGGGTCTCTCGACCCTCCCGGATGAGCAAGAGTGGGTAGGAGCGCGGTACACTAGAGTTGGAAATCCCTGAGCGCCAAGCCCTTGTACAGGTTCAAGCTGCCGTCTCTCTCTTATTTTTTGACCTTGAGCAAGTTAGTACCCTTACTCTGGATCCTGTTTTAAAATGGGGATGGGTATCTAGTAAGGCTGTTGGGAGGAATGACTAATATATGACGGGTGTAAGAGGGACACAATAAATGTTATTATCATCACAGTTATTTTTATTCGGGGGGCACTGAAAGGGTTGCTGCTTAGCTTTCCAGTGAAAACCCAAATCTTTGCTTTTCCTACAGGTTCGCTGGTACTTGGTGCTGGTCTTCTCTTTTCCCTCCGCTCTGTACGTTCAGTGATGCTGCGGGCTGGAGGGAAGCAAGTGACCCTCACCACTCATGCCCCCTTTGGTTGGGGTGCCCATTTTACGGTTCCCTTAAACCAGGTATCTTGCATGGCCCACCGGGGAGAAGTCCCTGCAATGTTGCCTCTGAAAGTCAAAGGCCGACGCTTCTACTTCCTCTTGGACAAAGCTGGACATTTCCCCAACACGAAACTTTTTGACAACACTGTGGGTGCCTACCGTAGCTTGTGAAGAAGCAACCTCAGGTCACTAAGGTTCAGAATAAAAACTGAACTTTAGGGATGCGGTGATAACCAGGGTCACACAGGGGGCCCAGAATTCATTAACAGCAAATAAAAGAGCAGTCATCCCAAGGGCAGCTACCTGCCCATACCTCTTGAGTTTTTTGACCCATATCTGTTTAGCCTTCACTCCTTACTCCTATCCACCCTACCTACAGTGCTTTACACCAAGAATTCAGTACTGAGATGAAGAAAGAAAGAAATACAATACTCTGGTACAAAAACAGCTGTAGGAAAAGAGGTGTCATTACGTTTCCCTCCTGGAGGGAAAACTAAGGCTCCCCTCATAAACAGAGCCGTGTCGGGGCGAGAGGATTAAAGGCACTTGGGCATGGAGTCTGGCTGCAGAAGTACTTTTTGGTGAGTCTTCAAGAATGGGAAAGGCGTGGCCCAACAAGAGCATCTGTCTCAGAGCTCCACTCAGGGTCCCCCCTCTGCAGAGGCCGGTAAGGGGTGGCTTCAGACTTCCACTGCACAGCCTGGAGCACCACGACCACACACCACAATACCAGATTCACCCAAGAAGAAGTCTGTGGGAGACAGGAACAGCAGTGTGAGGACTGGGCCCACCTTGAATCCGGTTCCACCCACATACCACGCAGCTGTGCACGGTCAGGCTGTCAAGCCTTCAGCTCCTTAGCCCCTCACGGGTGGACCAAGCTCAGAGTACACTGGTGAGCACTGTTAAAACTACAGATGGTATTCTACGATTCATTACATGAATCTGTATCCCTCAGTCTTCACCCAGCCTTTCATATCCCAGGGCCTCACTTCAGCGTTATGTAGGTTGGAGTAAAACTGCACAGCGGTTCCAGGGGGTATCCATGGAGTTTTCTGGGCATCAGAGCAGCTGTGAGGTCAAAGAAACAGTCGTGAGAAAGGGGAGATAAACCCTAAATAGCCTTTCACGCCAGTGCCCTTTTGAGATGAGAACTGACGGGCACATAAAAAGCAGAGTATGGGATACTCTGCAGAGGGAAGCAGACAGCCCCAGCCAGACTCCCCCCCCCCCCCCCCCATTACCTAGTCATGTTCAGGGAGATGATGGATTTGCACAGGGAACTGGTGCCAAATCGAAGGATACAGGCACACACTAAGACCAGGAAGATGGCTATAGCTGAGGTGGCCAGTGCAAAGCGGAGCCCCATCGGGCCTCTAGGAGGAGGGAGAGAAGCCTTGTGGTTGAAGTGGGACGCCTCCCACCTCAACCCCTGACCCTCAGAGCGGGCAGTCACCTGTGGGAATCCTCGATGCAGCTGGTGTAGACCCAGAAGAGCAGGAGCAGGAGACAGTAGAGGGCCAGTAGGCCCGAGGCCCCGGCCACAAAGTAGCAGAGGGAGGGGGCCGAGGGTCGGGACAAGACCAGAGAGGAGCCATTCAGGACGGCCACACCGTACAGAGGACAGCTGCCACTGAAGGAGCCCTGTGGAGAGAAGCTGCTGAGTCCTAGACTTCAGGCTAGTACCTCTGAATGCAAGTTCATGGCAAGTGTTGGAGATAATCTAGACCAGGGCCACTCTAAGAGAGCTATTTGTGTATTACTGTCAGTTCCTGTTTCTGGGCCAGTAGATGAGTGGGTCTGGTGGGGAAATCAAATCTGCAGTGGCCAGAAAGATGAGGAAATAGGCAATGGTTATAAAATACAATGAGCTTCAGAAATACTTCAGAAGTTCTGGTCTCCCCGGTACAGAAGTTCTAGAGTAGAACCAAAACTTGTGTAACCTTCGGCCATCTCTGATGTTTTCTAGTCTATAAAACAGGTGTAATAGTGCCTACTTACAGGGGTCAAACGAGTCTGTTTATTAACATGATTGCCTGGCTGAGGTAAACACTCGGCTAAACTTTTGGCTTCTGCTACATCACTAGTTTGCCATATGACACACTGCGTCGCAACAATTTGGTAGTTTGCTCATTTCTGCTACACTATGCTTTCTTTTTCTTTTTTTACACTATGCTTTCTTTAGGGCTTCCTGATGGCTCAGGCGGTAAAGCGTCTATCTGCAATGCATGGAGACCCGGGTTTGATCCCTGGGTCGGGAAGAGCCCCTGGAGAAGGAAATGGCAACCCACTCTAGTACTCTTGCCTGGGAAACCCCATGGACAGAGGAGCCTGGTAGGCTACAGTACACGGAGTCGCAAAGAGTCGGACACGACCGAGCGACTTTACTTAATGCTTTCTTTGAGAGGCTCAGCACAACAGTGTCTTATTTAAAGGGACCTGGTCCAACTTGTTTTACAGCCAGGGTGAGGTTATGCAGCAGGAATCACCCGGCCGGGCTGTATCTGCTGTTAGGCACTCCCAAGGACTCGTTCCTTTTGCGAGGTAATAATTTCCAAGCACGACCTGGACAGATGTATCCACAGAGCGTAATTAGCGCTGATGCATCTCCGCCGGCGACCGGCCTCACCCGGGCGACTAGCTCCGAAGAGCTAAGAGCTGCGCGCCAGAACTCTGCCGGATCGGACAGCAGCGGCCTCTCCGGTTCAGGGTCTGCCTGCTCCCCGCTTACCCACCCTGACGGCCGGCCTCGTCCCGCAACCGCACCTGGGTCCGGGTCAGCGCCGCGGCCGCCACGGCTCCGCATAAGAAGGCGGTAGCGAAGAACGCGAGTTCGACGCGCTGCAACCAGGCCAGCGCCATGACTTCCCAAACACCAGGAAGCGCCGCCGGAGCAGCCAACTGCCCAAGCCCCGCCTCATCCGGCGCGACCCACGAGCGCGGGGACGTCACTTCCGGGCGCGGGATTTATTTACAGAGACGAAGGCGGGAGCCGCCTCAAAGCGGCAGGTACAGCGAGTAGTCCGAGAGAGCCCAGCGGCGGGCCGGGCGGCCGGTGCGGCCGATCATGGGCAGCTTCTGCACGTAACGGGAGGCCGGGCTGGGCCCGTACGGCGCGGGGAAGGCAGTCTGAAAGAGGCGCCCGCGGCATCGCCTCCCTGCTTGCCGCCCAGCGATGATGAAACGGAAGTAAGGGGCACCGCGAGGGGCGAAACGGCTCTTCTGGAAGACGTCGCGGGTGCCGGTGCCGGGGCCCTGCTGCCGGGGTGCTCCCCGCGCCCGGTGCACGCGGGGCAGCGGCCTGCTCTCAGAGGCGGCGGGCGCAGAGGCTGACGGAGGACCGCCGCCCCGGGGGCTCTCGTCGCCCTGCGGACTGACCATGGCGTTGGCTGTCAGCTGCGGCATCTTCCGCACCGAGTCCGGGGCGGCCGCCGGCTCCTTCTTGTCCCCGGGCGGCCGCGGGGCCGTGGGCGCGGGCTGACCCGTACCAAAGCGGATGGCCAAGCTGTCACCAAAGAAGGCGTAAAGCTCCCGGTAGATGTACGCCAGGGTCACTGAACGAGAAGGATCCTCTGGCCCCGCGCCTCCAGGAGCCATTGGGAGACCAGACCCAAAGCCTGGCTCTGCGCTGCCCCCGGAGGGAGACTCCTGAAGGAGAAGGCTGTCCCAGGGCAGGTCGTCAGAGCGCCGGCACCCCCTGCTGCCTGGCCCACCCTTGTTGGGCTCTGCTGCCTGGGCCTTCATCTTCAGCAGTCGCTCTACGGCCACCTGTAAGAGCAGTGGGACTAGGATATAAGGAACCTGGGCCTAATTTTCTAAAGTAAGCCAGCTGAGCCGATGCAGGAAGGAGAGGCTGGAAAGGGCTGGCACTCACCAAAATGGCTCCATAGACTTTGTGTCCATCTGCTTTAACCTGGGCATTCGATACTGAATAATCGTCGAGCACAGCCTGCAGATTTGTCCAGTAAGTGGACAGGTGTGGGTACAGGACTCTCTCTACTGCCTGGATGGAAGAGAAGAATGCAGTGAGTGCCTCTTTTGCTCACTGCTTACCAAGTACCATTTCCTCTGAAAGATCTACTTTTATCTCTGGTTCTGGACAGGGCTGAATCCTAAATACCCTCCTTGGCATATTCAGCTAACATTTATTTGGAAACTCCTGAATGTCCAAGCCTTAATTAAGCAATGGGAATAAAGATGAGGTACAAAGACAAACAATATAAAATGACCCCACTATCACTGACATATGTGCTGAGGGCTGAAGGATATAAGTAATGCCCCCTGCTAACTAAGAAATTTAGCTCCCAACTGCTACATTCCAAGAACCGTCCTGGCTTACATGTAAACTGGAACTCAATTCAAACCACTTGCACAAAAACAACAGCTCAGAAACCTGGACTCTGATTATGTAGTTTTAATTCCTGTGATTAATTTGGGGGAAAATAATTAACACTTCAAGTTCCTAGAAAAATATAGCTTAATATTGACTCAAGAAATATGAAAACTCAAATAATTCTGTAACTATTAGTTAAAAATATAACCACAAAATATATATATATATATATATATATAACCACAAAACAGCATGCCAGAATTTACAAAGTCAGCGTACAGACATTCAAGGAACAGAGTGTCTCAATAAAACATAATTAAACAAAAATATAAATATAAAAAATACTCCCTCTCCACCTTATTCTATAAAACCAGTATAACCCTGATACTAAAACCATAAGAGGAGAGTACATGATTGATTTCATTCATAAATACAAATAAATCATTTAAATCCAACTGTATATAAAAAATATATTCCAATGAAAGTTCTGCACTTTTTTAAAGACTATACCATTACTAAAGTGAGTTTATCCTAGAAATGTAAAGATAGTTTACTATTAGAAAATCTGTATGGGGAGTTTCCAGTGGTTCAGTGGTTAGGACTCAGCACTTTCACTGCTGGGACAGGGATTCAGTCCCTGGTTGGGAATTAAGATCCCACAAGCTGTGTGACACAGGCAAAAAAAAAAGAAAACCTATATAGACAATTAACAACATTAACAGATAAAAGCAGGAAAACCTTAGAATCAATTAAAAAGATACAGAAAGTGCATTTGATAAAATTAACATAAATTAATAATTAAGAATATAATTCCCCTAGCCTGAGAAAGGTAATCTACAAACACACAAAGGAAATGTCAGCCTAAACAGGACAGGTTATTGTTAGTACTGTTTTTTAAATTGGAAATGAGACAAGGATGCCCAATATCAACATTTAAAATGATAATGGTCCTAGCAATAAAAAGAAAAAAATTACTAGGTTTGGGAA